GAGTACGTTACTATTGTTTCTTTAGCTATTTGTTTCCTACCTAATTGAAATCATCACTCTGCTCAACCTTCATTCAAACCATTGTTTTCTGTGAACTGTTTACAATAGCTAAGCCTCCATAAAAGATGCAATTGTCCGGATAATCAACGGGCTTAGATCAATAAGCTTGAGAATCTATGCTCCAAGCTTTTTGTGTTTTAGAACTCAGGAAAAATTACTTTTTTGTTTTCTTGGCATTAGTCAGAGATGATAAAAACACCTTGCGCATTTGTGTCATAAAACTCTTCATGCACTGAAAAACTACCACTTGAGTGGCAACCGAAAGACGTCTCGGAAAAAAGAAGAAAAGAAAACAGTTGCGTGCGCACGTTTCCGCGTAACTCAAGTTTTGGCGGGAAACCGAAAGGCGTCACATATTAAAGATAGTCTAACGCTTGTTATTTTATGCAACTGGAGTCCGATATCTGTTCCATTAGATATCAACAATTCCGAACATTTTTACCTTTTCTCTAAAAACGTATACAATCGCAAACTTTTGGGCAAAAATTTAACGCTGAACTCGTTTTATGCCATCAGAGATACGCTGTTGAAACAAATACACAGGTATATATAAGCTCAACTCTGGCATAGCCAGAACAGAAACAACACGCTTGATTTGCGAATTATTATGATAATAGGCTTATGCCCCAAGGCACAAAGCGATAAGAATGAAATTCTTGACATTTTAAGAACCAAAGTAAATACAATATCATTACTTTGGTTTAAAAGCGACTTAAATGCTATGCATTTGGAACTTTTCAAGCTTTTGGCTCCAGAAAACTGTAGTGGATTGTTCATCAGTGAATTTTTGACATTTCCCGGTTTTAACGATAGCTTAGAATGAATTTTTTTGGTGCTAAAATCTGCTAGCCGTTATCGACGCCTGTTTGATTTATGTATGATAATAAAATGTTTTGAGTGCACTTTGCAAAGTTCAAAGAAATGGTCAGTTCGTGATTGTTCAGCCGGGAAATTATTTAAATAATCTATCGGTTTGCGTTAATGCAATTGCGCAAGACTGTCTTTTATTACATAATTAATTTAAAGCTTAGACGTTAGGTATACTAAAACCGCACGAGTCAAAAATCGGCAATTCGCGCTTGCGGTGCTGTGAAAATTTTCGTAATCTTAGGAATGCCCGGAAGGGAAATATTTTGATTTAAATAATCCAGGCATAGTCAATCTGTCTTTACTTCAGTTTTCTTACGAAAATAGTAAACCAGTTTTCTGCCGCAGGCAGTCACGAGATCGTTGAAACCCGTAATTCGGCGTGGCTGAAGCGACTGGAAGACATATTCCTCCTGTATTAAAATACCATAATAAGTTTTTATTTGCAAGGGTTTGTTTTCGTTATTTTCGCGATTCATTTAACACAAAATTTTTTACCTAATAAAAAATATTGGCAAACATTGCCTGTTTAAACAAACCAATCTGGAATGTAAGGCAAGTATTAAGAAAATAGAACAGGTCAATTTTGACTTGTAAATGGTGGAGTCTGCGAAGCAAAGAGCAAGAAAAATAAATAATAAATCTTCCCTATTCTATTTTCACAATGCTGGCCTTGCACTTAAAACTGTTTTACTCATACTTAGACTTAGTTATAGTACGTTTATGTCCTGACTTAGAGAGACAGTGTCATGTGACCCTTTGCCTATCACGTGCGTGACCTACAGTTGCGGATTGTCACGCAATGCTTCCCCCCAATGTCATAGTGGGCGTAGTTGAAGCACTCAAGAAAAATGTCATGTGAAGATACGCGATAACAATAAATTTAGGATTTGAACTTGACCAGTGGCATACAAAGCGGCATCAAATGATATTTTTTATTCTTGAAAGGTTACTGCAAGCTTCTCAGTGAGAAACATTTAAGGAGTCTCCATTCCCCCGCTGGGTCGAACAAACTTAATAATTTCGACATAGCACATATACGAGCAAATTTAGCTTGCAATTTACAAGGCTATCCAAGGTGACAGAGGACGAAGCACACGCAAAATATACATCACAAATCAACAATAGGATGACTTTTATCTTCATCCGCGCGTCAATCCACAGGTACACGCGTGTCATGCACGCGCGGGTAACTCTAACATCAAACATGAACCGTGTAAAGTGCACAGGGGGGCCGAAATATCTAGCACAATAGAAAAAAAGACCTTTAGCCGCTTGATCAATCTCGCATTGTTTTCTCTCCTTTCTTTCCGCCCTAATTGCTGAAGACGCAAAACCGCAAGCCGCCGAAGAAGACACCATCCCACGCACTCCCCCTTGCCGCGCGAATCTTCGCCGCTCTTCAGTACTCTTCAATATATCCCGATCGTTCTGATAGAAGGTAGCAAGTTTACTCATGCATGTCAGGCGATTCTGGAAGACTCTTCTAGACGATTCTAGGCAACTACAACCTTCTGCAAGAACTAAACCTGACACTAGCATCCAAGGTTAAATCAACCCGTGCACACCCTGGAACTTGTGATCGAGAAATATCCTAAAGGGAAGAAACGTGATCATTTTTGCTCCGTGACCTACCCCACGTACATTGTCAGGGTTGAGAAAATCAATGCCCTTATGATTAACAGCAGGCGCTGGCAGATAATGGTCACGATTCCAAAACATTTCGGTGACGTTTTCACTTCCCCGAGACGTCCTGGACAAAGTACATACCCTAAAATAGGAGGGGGGAGGGGAGGGACCGGACAATCTATAAATCCCGTATTTTAAGAGATCCTTTTAGTATTAAGTATTCCGTTTTGGATTCCCTATTAGAAAAACTGAATTGATTTGATTTTTGTTCTGTGTGTGTGTGGAAGATTGTCTTCTTATCCCTTTGATAACCCGGGTGATAAGCTAATGCGGTCTGGATGATTCCCCCCTCCCCTTCAATTCTTGCCGGAAGTGAAGGCACTTGAGCAACTCTAAACACTCTAGCGCCTTGAATGGTCTTGAATGAACCCTGTATTGTTTCAGTTCAAATAAAGTTGTTTTTCTTGGAACAAAAATAGTTTGTTTACAATAGTTCATTATCCGATATTAGCTTATCACCAGATAAGTGTTGTTTCTCTCTCTGGAATGAAATTCCACGGATTGCTTCCTTAAAAAAAAAAAAAGAGCGTGTAGCAATTTTGGTCTGCAGTTTTGCAATCAGCATCATTGTGCAGGCGTTTGACGTGAATAATAAAATTTCCGACATACCCTGGTCACATGCGGTCACGTGTCAACCGGGTGTTCCATGGCAGGAATTTGTAGCGATCGATCTTTAGCACGTGATGTAATCGACAAGAATTCACGAAAATACGCTAAAATAGCACAAATGCCCGAGAGCATTCAACGCTACAACGCAATTAGCCAAATATCACCATGTTTAGAATCATCTTTCAAATGTACCCATCACTCTCAAGCGTGTGTAAACTAACTCGGTAACTTGAAGTTTCTGAAAGATCTACAACATATCTATGTTAACGAGTGATGTAATTATAGCGAGCCGGTGAAATGACCTTTAGAACTTGAGCTTTTTTCACGGGAACTACTGGAAAACTTGGGAGCAACGTGCTTATGTTAGCAGAGTTAGATACTTAATTTGTTTACATTTTATAATCAGTGTTCAATCACTCCCGGATTATGAAATTTCCTTGCATAACCTTTAACCTAGTTGATTGCAAAAACTAATTTTGACTTTTTCTTATTGATCTACGCACAGCATAAGTTTCTCTTCGTCGACTTTTTTTTGTTTCCAGCACAGAGAAAAATTACTGGGTGTGGCGGAAACATCAGACAGTTAAAATTCTGTTTACTTCCAGTTCCCGTATTGTTATAAAGTTGTCGCGTTCATTTCTGAACATTTCATCAAGAACCATTGAAAATTCGATTTTGTTCGCTTGCGTCAGAATGTTGACAATATTGTGAAATTTTGGCGGAACGAAGAAAAGAAAAATTTGCATTCAGCCGGTTTCTTGGGTTGCAAACTTCCAGAGAAGTTTTATTGTTTTTTACTAAAATGATCGCTAACCACCAATCTTGAACATAGATATTCTATCATTTTCATGCTTCACCGCTCTCCTTGATCAAACTTAAAAATTGTCAAGAGCATCGACGGGTCTTTGAAAAATTGCAAGGTTAATGTATTCACTTTTTGTTTTTATTTTTTGGCCGATTCTGTGAAACGCAAAAATTTCGGACTTAATATTCAAACGGAACTTTGAACTGGAACCACAGCGCGAGTCGTAACTTATTCCCTGTTCAGGTTGCGTCATCCTTCTTTTGTCTTATGGCTATATTTATCTCCTTCGCATAATCCCGCCCAATACTGTAAATTTTAATCCAAACGTGTGAAAAACGACTAAATTAAAATTTCTCCCCCCCTACCACGTAAAGTTGCTCAATCAACAATCAAAATAATTTTTGATCGGCATGCAATCTTCGCGCCGTTATCAAGACACTTTCATTTCATACCACAGCGTCGGGGTGTTATGTTTTGCGTAATTGATCCTAACATCAATGCGATTTCGAGTAGGACTAATTTACCCGATCCTCTCTATCCAATCAATATATTACAGAAGCAAGATAAAATCATACAGCCATCAGTTCGCCAAAATATCACGCCGTGACTGAACAAAAACTCCAAAACAAAATGTACAATCGGACTGCTTGAGTCTTTCTGGGAAGGATTTTCGCTCATGCCGAACATTTACACGCTTTTATTGAGATGTCAAACGAAAATTATGTCCTTTGTTTGCAGTTTGGCACTTCTTTTCAGTGAAAAGACATTTGCCCTATTGTATTGTCCAATATGTCTGCCCCAGCACCACCCCACTTCGGCATTTTGCTCGACCTCACACCCATAACTTTGCCAGCCTAAGCAACAGCGCACGTGATTGGTTCGTGAATTTAAGCCAGCTTGTGATTGGCTAGATTTTTGACAATACCGTCAATTTATAAACTTGAAACGTGCTAATAACGCGTGGTTCTCAAGTAAGCTAAAGGTCATTCTTGGGCTTGGCCTTCGTTCGCTAGAGAAAGGCGTTGTAGCTGATCGAAGCCTTGATCATTGAGCATTACTTTGCTGATTTCTTAGCGTAAAGATGGCGACAGAAGTTATCACACCGCCTGTTGAGCCGGAGCAACTCGAAGTTAAAAGCGAAGAGGCTGAGAAACCCGAGGAGAATCATGTCGAAGAGAAGCAGGATGACACAGCGAATGAAAACAAGCCAGAGGAGGCCGAAGCGAACGCGGTCGCTGAAGGCGAAAAGCAAGAAGAAAATGGCTCCTTGCCGCCGAAAGTTTTACTTTATCAACATCCCCCGTGGAACTTCATTCCTTCGCCGCTTCCCGCCTGCATTAAAGTGGAGACCTACTGCCGAATGATGAAGATTCCTTACGAAAACGTTTACAAAACTGGCACAGACCAGAAGTTACCGTACCTCGAATACCAAGGCGAGACAAAGAAACACAATCTATTAAGCTTCCTTAATTCCAAGTTCGAAGTGGACGCGGATGCTAACCTTAGCGATAAGGACAAAGCTTGCTCACGAGCTTTCCAATGCATGGCAGAGGAAAACACTTTCTGGAGCCTGATGTACTATAGATGGGTGGATAACTTCGCGGAGACGAAGAAATACTTCAAAGGTTTGGATGTTGTCAGAAAGAATGTACGCCCAAAGCTCGATCAAGGCAAATGTGTGAAGTGTCTCGAAGCACATGAGATCGGCAAGCACAACAAGGAAGAAATTTATGCTATTGGCGAGAAAGATCTACGTGCGTTGTCTTCTTTCCTCGACGACAAGGAGTTTTTCATGGGCGCTGATCCCTCGACTATCGATTGCACGATGTTTGGGCTCCTGTCATGCCTTCTGCACACGGCCGAGAGCTCGCCGCTGGCTAAAGTTGTGAAGGAAGATTTGAAAAACCTGGTAGATTTCTGCGACCGGATGAAGCTCAACTTCTGGCTTGACTGGAACGAGCTGTGTTCAGAAGAGCAAGTGGAGGAGACGCGACCAAAATCAAGGCTAAGTGTGAAAAAGAAGAAGCGTACCAAAAGTCAAGAACCCGCTGCAGAGGCGAAGGAGGGCGAAACGAGCGGCGAAAAAGAAGGAGAGAAGAAAGAGGGCGAGGAGAATAAGGAAGAAACGCCTGCTGTAAACGGAGATGCGGCGGAAGAGACACCCGCCGAAGAACCAAAGGAACAAGCAGAAGGAGAGAAGGAGGAGGCCAAAGAATCAGAAGAGAAAAAGGATGATGCTGAAGCCCCGGTGGAGAATGGTGATGGTGGCGATGCACCAAAGGCCGAGGAGGCACAAGAATAAACTGTAAGCTTTTCCAATTCGTTTTCTGTGAACTTTGAGCAAACAAAGCGCTTCTATAACCTAGCGAATACTAATGAATTACTTTAGGCGTTCAATCCAGGGACGTTGGTTCCTTATTGTAATTATTATTTTCTCTTGCTTTTTTGCAAGACGTGGCTCTGTTGTTTTCGCTCAGTAAGGGAGGTTGTGTGATGTAAGCGTGTATTCGTTTCGATTGCTGTACTTTTGGACATGGCCTCCGTTGCGAGGGAATTACGAGCGTGTCGAACTCGCGATTCGTGACTGAAAAGCTATTCTTGAATCTTCTTGATTATTATTCACTCGACGCCTGTTTTATTGCTGGATTTCGACCGTTGAAATTGGGAGAAATCTGTTCATTTCGGTAGAAGCAGCCCCGTCGGGAAGGAATTCGGTCGAAAACCCGAAATCGGTGTAATTTTCCGAAGGTGTGTCGCTTTTCAGATCTAGGTGGGGCTTGCCTAACACGCCAGTTAGCGATTTTCGAATTAAGCAGGGGCGATCTCGCTCGGTTACATCAGCACAAAGACATTAATTTTTTATTATAATCTTTTGATTGTTATGAAAAGCTCAACAGTGTAATAATACTCCCGAAGTATTGAAGAAGCAATGTCGGCTCTTCTTTGGTAGGTTAAGTTCGAATTAAGCCGTAGAAAATGAAGTGAGCACACGAGAGAGTAAATCGAAGGCTATAGTTAAAGAAGCCATGATATTTATATAAGTAGAAATCTTCAGACATGCGTTAGAATTACTGTGTATTATGTCAATAGGACGAAATCTATATTCATTCAGTTAACTCGTGGAATTCGAACTATCGAAGTTTTGTTCTGTCTTTATAATGGCGTCTAAGTCCTCGTCCGTAACGTTCTACCGCAGTCGGCAAATATTTACAAAGTGAGTTTTAATCTTGTTCGAGTGTGCGAAATCGGAACTAGATTAAAACAAACTGCTTTCTCATACAATTTAGATGACTTGTTCGCTGTAAACTGTGAAAATTTGCAGATCTGAAGAGAAACGAGTGGTTGAAGATAGTACCGTGAAGTCAAGGTTTTGAATCTAACGATTCTAACAGCTTAATTAGGATTTAATATCTTTCAGTAACTCCAATGTTATAGTTCGTTAACCCGCCCAAAAATACTACTTCGTTGTAGACTTCGCACGTGTTTTGAGGTTTGTTATAATAGATTAAATTACAGTCAAAGCTCTTTGCCATATTGTTTTATTTTTTGCTAAGAAAAGCAAACTAATGTTTAAGACTTGTTTAAATTTATTAAGTAGTAGGATATTATTTTTGGTGTAGTGTACAGCTTGTCCGAGAGACGAGCCCAATGTGCGCCAATTTGAGAGTCAAACCGTAAAATAAGTAGCATAATTTATAGGTTCAGAGCGTGCAATGATCTATCATCTTGTTTGCTAGGCATTTCAGTTGCTAATATTGTTGTCTTGGGAGAATGTGTTGATATAGCAAGTTTCATGCTTCCTATTTCTCAATGTTAACAAGAACCTTTCATTTCCTAAGCTTTTTTTACTGCAAATTATTGTAGTAAGCTTCCCAGTCATGTGTTATGCATCCCTTCATAAATTGTCGGGGAGAACTTTCAAAGGGTCTGCTAGTTAGCCCGATATAATAGATTTATTTTCCATTTATTTTGTATTGTTGATGATCTTTAAGTAAAAACAGTTTATCGAAAGCTGAAGCTACATAGATAATGTGAGATACTTTGCATGTAATTGCTACCCTTCCAAATTACTTAGTATTTAAAGTAATATTGGTCCATTGTCTTTTGTAGTGACATTGAGAAACTCGTGAGGTACTATGTTTTGCCCTGTTGCTATTTTCATCCACCAGAATTTACTCCCTAATGTTGCTCTTAAATTGCTGCAGAATTTGGAAGGTGTAGCAATGATTTATCTTCTAGGATTGGTGTGATGTAAATGATAGTTTGGTCAGCAGAGGAGTGACATGTCGTATGATGGAATTGATGTGTTACTTTTACGTAGAAATAGCAAGACTTTCCCATGTAAAATGTATTGTTAAATTATATCTAAGAGATGAGATTAAAAAATGAGCAATCATTTGGAGTCTTGGTAGTTTTTGCTTGAACAGCTTTGACTGTTTCGAATAATGTAGTTTCTAAGGGATGGAATTTGGATGTAAAGATTGCATGTTCATCTCCTATAAGTTCTTTGACATGTGTCTGCACAAGACCTTGGCTTTCACAGCCAATTACTATTAAGTGCATGATTATTCCTTTTGAAAGTAACCATGTCTTACTTTTCAACCGTTCTAATTCTGGGTAAATATTTTGGCAAGCATGTTGCTATCCTAAGTGACGTTATATATAAACATGGTTATTTTGGAGTAGAATTTTGCTTGTCACTTGGCCAATACAAGTTTTGTTTTTGTGATATTAGCACAGAAATGCATTTGCTAAATGCTAATTTGGGCAGTTACATTGAGGCATAATGACAAGAGAAAATGTCTTTATCACTGGATTATATTACAGATGAAAAATGGATTGTTTTTGTCTTCTGGAAGTTGCCATGGTTTGTGTTGTGAATTTGGTACAGCCATTTAATGCTGTAAATATCTAGGAATTGTGTTAGCCTAAAAATATGTATCCAATATCTATAGCTAAATTCAAAAAATGTTGCAGTTATTCTTAAGTTCCATTCCTAAAGGAGTAATGTACACACGAACCCCTCTATTTCATACTCTCATGGGAGACGGAAAGTAGTTCGAGATAGTGGGAGTTTGAAATAGCTGATAGTAAATGACTGAAGGGCAAAATTCAAGGGAAATGGTTTTGAATTCAAAATAAGCAAGTTGGAATCAGTGGAGTCCAGCTATATTCTGTATTAGTAATGGGCTGAAATGCAACCTGAACTTGCAAGAATAACTTGCAAAATTTTGTGTATGTGGTAGGGTTTTTTATTTGCCTTTATTCCATGGAAACTGCATTACTCTGTTTAACAAGTTCAACCCTGCTTGTTGAGGGAATTTAGTTGTGGTCACAATTCAGGCCTGAAAGAAATGAGACTGCAAGGACANTTTTAATATATCGAAATTGGTCTATTCAGACTACTGAGCACATTCTGCTACCTTATTTGCTAAATTGGGCATCCTAGGGCCAGAAGAAGGAAAGAGATTTTTTTTTATTATTTCTGATGAAAAAGTGGGACTGCTTGTAGCCTTTGGCAAGAATCAAAAGAGTAATTCATGTTCAATTTAAATTGCTATAAGGTAACATCATGGATAATTTGTGGAAGGTTTTATAAGTTTCTTTCCCATTATTATTTTTTTGAAGTGAAGGATTGAATACCTATTGTTGGTACAGTTGAACCCCACTATTTCGAACTCTCAAGGGAAATAAAAAATTAATAGTTCAAAAATTGCTGAAGGGCAGATCCAAAGGAAATGGTTTTGAGTTTGAAATAAAGAGGAAATCAAAATAACCGAGACTGTTCGAATTAGCCGGGTCCAACTGTATCTTTGTAAATAAGAATTTTTGCTTTCACCAGTTTAGATATCATCCCGTGATACATGTGTAAATACTGTTGTTTAAAGAGACAAGTATTTTAATTTTGAAAATATCCTTTAGTGCCATTCCTTATAATCTATGTACAGTATACCATCTCCAGGGAAATTGTTTTTAAAAAAATAAATTTTGTGGAAGTGAATTTGATACATGATATTTTTATTTTCTGCTTCTCCCAAAGGAGGGGGCTAACTAACCACCCAATCCACCACCCATAAATCTGCCCCTGTACGTAGTGGTACAAAGAAAGGAAACTCAAACAGGCCCTGCAGACAAGTGGGAATTCTACAAAAAAAAAAGATGTAGAGAGAGACTCATCAGGGCCTTAGTTTGCGGCTTTCATTGTTTAAAACATTTGTCTGGTTTGTCTCATATTTTGTACTTTGGCTAAATATGGCTTCAATTTCAAACAGCATTTGTCCTGCATTTATCAGGGACAAATATGAAAACATATTTGTCCCACTTTTGTTGTCTTCCCAACCAGGACAAATATAACATCAGATTTGTCTCATATTTGTCTTAAAGCCAAATATGATCAAATCCATTATTTCATCCAGTGAAACCTGCTTTAGGCAACATGGAATCATGTGAAGACAATAATAAACGTCATGGGTCACTTTCTATTTTGGACTCGCAGTATTTGTCATTGCTTTTTCCATAACAAAGCCAAACTACATGTGTCAGGGATCAGTCAGAGATTTTTTTGTTCCCACCCGAATAAAAACAAACCTTGACTTTTCCCTGTCTGTAAAGCAATTTTCACTGGCCCTGCAGAATGACTATTCTGGCCATGAATCAACAAAAACAAGGATGGCTCAGATGATTTTTAAAACAAAATTGCCTTGTCTATACAAAAACATCTAATAAAATAATTTGCAGCAACCTTAAGATAAAATTCCCTGACTTTTTCCTGACTTTGTTCAGGGATTTAGAAACTCCCTGACCTGGTACAAAACTCCCTGACTTTTGCCTGACCTTGCATAAAATCTAATTTTCCCTGACTTTTGCCTGACCGTGGTAACCCTATGAGTGGCCCCTTAATAGAGGTTCGACTGTAAAAAAGTATTATACATGTAAATTATACATGCAGTTTTTGACTTAGATGCAGTGATGTTCATATGCGCAGAAAGATGGTCACAGATTCATGGTATACGACCAATAATAGGTTGACAGTTGGCGATGTACATCGGACGTTAACCTTGTGTAAACAAAAGCAAACTTCTGCTTTATGTGCGACGAATGGTGA